GCCCTTGTCTGTGTGCAGTGCCTTTCTCTGCTCCTGGAGTTCCAAGCCTTTGCACAAAGGGTGGAGAAAGGCATTGGCATTCTCTGCCTAACCCTTGCCTGAAGTCATTTCTCAGACAAGATGTGATGAACAAATACTGCCTTTGGAGGAAGACGTACAAATTTGCCAAAGACAGGAATGTAGTTCTGGGACCTCCTAGCTACAGGATTATGTAAATCACTCAACACGAGTGAAGTCGTAGTTATGATAGTAAATAATTTCCATTTGTACCAGAGCTAATTAGTCTAAGGAAAATGGTGACAGGGGATATATTCTGTAACTTCTCAGGAGGCAGCCCTGGAAGTCTGGCTCCAGAGAGAGTTTTCGACTCTCTGTAAGATGTTACATGTGGGTAGCTAGTATTTATTGAGTCTGTGCTGTCTTCAGACATTATTCTAAGTGCTTCAGACATATTAACTCATTCACTTGAGGTCATTATTTTTTCTTATCTCCTTTTATGATGAGGAACAGGGAGGTTAAGTAGCTTGCCCAATGGTAGCACTGTTAACACTTGATTCTACAGGTAAGGCTACTGAAATGCTGAGAAATAGCCCACATATGGCCAAATATGACTCAGCTAAACAGCAGGAAATTCCCCCCTTACTCTATGAGAACAAAGAGGCATTGCGTCCGTTCCGTGGGAGTGGGTTTCAGCCTCCTCTTACCTATGAAGCCTCCGTGCCAGGCGCTGAGAGAGAGGCTTCCCGGGTCACCGCCTCTTAGTGACTTAAAAGTCTAAAATCTGGGACCTCAGAACCTCAAATGGGGTCCCAGGAGATGAGCCACTTCTCACGCTTCAAAGAACCTAACAGAAATTGCTCATTTAGGGGCAGCAAAACAATGTAGGCTAATGAGTGTGTGAAAACTTTTTTTTTTTGCATTTGTCAAAATTACATATATCATGTTAATGTAACAATGTAATTATTTTGTGTGGGTCAGACACTTTCCATGGCAATTGTACGTTTTTAATCCTAAAAATAGGTAATTAATTCTACAAACGGTTTAGGTAAATCCTCGGACTCTGGAGTCTGGAGTTAGGGGCAAGATAGAAATGGACCTTAGGGATGAAAACATTAGCACCCGCTGGCCTGTCGTCTACGAGAGGCATTGCTGACGGTCAGCGACCACAGTGGACTCAGATGGATAGAACGCTCCTGTTCTGCAGGAAGGCGGTGCTTCCTGGCTGTTTGTGTCTTCCTTACCTGCGTTCTTAACCTGCCGTTATTACAGACAACTGTAACAATGTTCTTACCAAGATCTCAGGGGCTTTACCAGGGGAATTTGCAGAATGTAATTAGGATGGCAAATGGTCTGGTACACCCCATCCCTACCACCAAATAACATGTTTCAAAGCCAAATAGAAATGCTGTTTTGTATCATCTGCTCTTTGGATTTTCCAAGCCCCTGCTTCGCTTAGAGAGAACTGTTGAGTCTCCCTGTCTAGGAGGCGCTTAACCATAAACTGTAGAGCCAGTTAAACTCTTGGGCTTAATTTAATTTTTGAATAAGTTATGCATTCATATGGATCAAAAATCAAAACAAGGAAATGAGGCGTACTCAGAAGTCTCCTTATAGGGTGTTATTTACCCCTGTCCCTCCACCTACAGGTCATCACTTCTGTTAGTTTCCTGTATATTGCTACTGAGTATATTTATTCCATTCCCTAACCAAAAAATGACATGATATTCATGTCTTTATATCTGTCTGTCTCTATTCATATATACACATATATCTTAGAACCTTTTTCATGGTAGCATGTAGGGAGCACCCTCATTTTTTAAACTGGCTGCATCACATCCCATTGACCGTATGTATGTGTATATATGTATATGCACACATACACACATATACTCTTGTGATGAACACTTGGGTTTTTCCCAATTGTTAGCTATTACGAACAGTGCTGCAATGACTATCATGGCAATCTATCATTGTGCATGTAAACAGGCTATCTGTAGAAAAAATTCCCAGAAGTGAAATTTGGGGTCAAAGGTAAATGCTTTTGGAATTTTAATAATGTTACCAAATTGCTCCTTGGGGTCACGTTCTCACCAGCAGTATATAAAAATGACCAATTTCTCATAGTCTCCTCGAAAGAGAGTATTAGAAAACATTTTTATCCATCAGACTAGTCAAAATCTGGAATTTATAAAGTACACTTTTAATTTGCATTTCTCCTATTTGAAAGGATGCTCAACTTTTCTCATGATGTTTAAAAGCCATTTTATTTATTTTTCTATGAAACAACTATTAATCTTTGCTAATTTTTCTCTTGGGTAGCTGGTAATTTTCTTAGTTGTTTTTAGTAGCTCTTTCCATATTAGTGAGATTATCCATTGTTTTATCTGTGATATGAGTTAAATATTTTCCCCATGTTATTTGTGTTTTGACTTTGCTTACGATTGTGTTTTTTTGGTCATACAGAAGTTATTGTTGTTTAATGTGACTGAATTTATCAAACTTTAATCTTATGCTTTCTGGATTTTTAATCATAGTTCAAGTGGCCTTTTCCCACTCCAAGGAAGTCACTCATATTTTCTTCTGGTATTTTTAAAATATCATTTTACTACAGAAAAATTTAAGGATACACAGATTAGAGAAAGTAATATCATAAACTTCAGCTACCCATTGTCCAGCTTCAACAATTAGGCATATTTTGCCAGTCTTATCTTTGCCAATCATCTGTTTTGAGAATAAAGCAAACCTCAGACATCATATTATTTTCATTTAAAGGACATTAGTATGTGTATTAATAACATGTAAGGACTTTTTAGAACATAACCTCAGTATCATTATTACACCAATAATTCACTAAGATTATCCAGTGCTGTTCTGTGTTCATTTTCTTTTCTGTAGCTTTTGTCGCTTTGTTGTTTTGTGTGTACAGGACGAGGTATGAGCCAAACCTTTTATTTTTCCTGGTCAGCTGGTTCTTCTAACTCACCTTCTTAAAGTGTATCCTTATCTTACTGGTTTGAGATGTTAACCTTTACCATGTAACACATTGCCATGTGGTTTGAGGCTGTTTCTAGACTTTCTGTTCTGCTGCATTTGTCTGTTGACTCATACGCTACTATACTGTATTACTTGCTGTAGCATTAGAGAATGTTGCAATGTCTGTCAGGACTAGTCATTCCCCAAATGAGATAGGAAGCTATCTACTCCAACTCGTGCTATATAAAAATGGCAGAAAATTATAGTTGACAGTCCAGCCTCCTCAGATCAGGGGTAGGCCTGGTGATTCAGAAATCGACAAAGACTGAGGGTTGAATGTGTGAGTGAATGTGGTCCCTAAGGAAGGTAGTAGTAATGACACTGCAGGAAGGTAAACAGTAATAACATGCAGGCCTGGAAGCTGGGGCAGATCCTCCTCTGGAGGTGGGAGGAGGAAGAGGAATTAGCAAAGGGAAAGGACATGGGTTTGGTGGTTGAAGCTTGCTCCTCCCTTGGAAATAGCCAACCTTGGTTCTCTTTGGCAAAGTCAGACGGGCCGACGGTAGAGAAGGTTGAAGCGTTTGCTGGGTGCCTGCTCTGGGAAACTGACCAGAGCTGTGAAATGAGCTGCAGAGCCGCAAAGGCCCGGGGAGACGTGCTGGGAGGCCGTGCCATCACTCTGCTCTGGGCAGTTCACAGGCCTGTGAACAGGCGATAGCCCTGACCTCCAAGGATGCCTGAGCGCTGGCTCATGCCTCGGGAGGTGCGAGAGTGCCCTCACCGTGCCTTTCCCAGGAAACGCATGGAGCCCTCAGCCTTCTTTCCAGGAGACAGTATGAACTCCACCTAACAAGATACCTTTACTAGAAAAGATCTGAGAGAGAGATGACTTCTAATAGGTGTTATTGTGGGAAGGACATCTGAAGTGCTTAACTGGGGCAAATCATAATACTTTTTTTCCCTTCTGAAATGCACGTGTCTGCTAGACTCTGTGTGCACCTTCACAAAAGCCCAGAGAATGCTAAGGTGGTCAGAGCAGGGGGAGAAGGCTGGATGCGGAGTGGGTGGAGAGACTGACCAGGGATTACTGCGGAATGACTTCATTCCCAGCAGACACCACCCTTAATAACCTTTGGCACCGCCTGTAACCTCCTCACCCCCAGTTTCCTCCTTTTAACCTGCAGGTGAGCACACGGCACTTCCCTCACAGGGCTGTGGGGAAGATTAATGAGTTTCAGATGGGAAAGTTCCTTGCTGATGAGTCATGTGGTGGAGCAAGTGTGCTCACTTGAGGCCACGCAGCCACGAGCTGTCTGCTGCCCAAACCCAGACAGCAAGGGTAAATGGAAACCAGTCATCATCAGTCAGGGGAATGGACTTTGCCACCTAAATGAGTGGGTGAAGCCAGCCTTACTTGGGCATGTTCAACACTTTGTTACCGGGGGTCTATCCTGTGCTGACAGTAACAGGCGGCCGTGGTGGGGGCTGGAGGGGCCTTCATGAGAAGTGAGAGCCCTGAGGTGCAGGCGCTGTGCTGGCTGCTGGGGAGGGCTATTAGCCACAGTGGAGGACGACAGCCCACAACTGTGATTCTGGGGACTGTCAGTTCCGTGAGCTGGGCATCAGCTCCAGTCAGCTCCATGTTCTGGCAAACTCTAAATAATAAGTAAGGTCATCTGTGCTCCCACAGTCCCCTCACTCGCCAGATGCCACCTGACCAAGTCCCCAGGTCAGCCTTCTCTCAGGGGTTTCCAGTGAAAAGAATTTTGATGTTCATCAACCAGAAGGGAAGAGGAAAGACACCTCTCTTTTGGCCTCTTTGACGTCTACTGTTGCATGCCACAGTTTTAAAAAGTACATTCAAGGTGTGCTTTATTTTAAGCACAAGGTAAAAGGGGCTATTTCAGGCATTATCATAGAACACTTTCTCTGCCAGTGGGAGTTTTATGGTCTGGAAATTGGTACAGAATATGGATGAGATCTCAATGTACATTTTGAGCTGAACTTTTTTTTATTTTCCCTTTCAGGTGTCCTTGAGTGACGGTAGCAGGAGTGGAAGAGGAGGAGAAAAGAAAATTGATTAAGAAAGGTGAGGACAAGTGAATCTGGAAGGTGAAGTAAAGGGTTCCTCTGGGCAAATGAAGCTACTAAGACCATTATCCCAATTAGGAAGGTTTGGGACTGTAGAAGGTGAGAGGTAACCAGAGAATAACTACTGGGCAGTTCAGGAAAGACGATCTCTAATTTAAGTGAGAATTCCATTGTCACATGAAAATATTGTGTTGTTTCTTGAAATACAGGATTTTAAGGGAGGAGAATAGGGGAAGGCACCATTGCATTAATACGGGATTCTGGTTTTCAGTGAATGTATTTTTTTTAAATGTTTATACAATTTTCAAAGGGCACTTTGCATTTGCAGTTATGACAAAATACTGGCCGTATTCCCCATGCTGTACAGTACATCCTTGAGCCTAGCATTTCCCACTTCCCTGCCTGTGTTGCTCCCCACGCCCCCACCGGTAAGCACTAGCTCGCTCTCTGTGTCTGTGAGTCTGCTGCTTTTTTGTTACAGTCACTAGCTTGTTGTATTTTTAAATTTCACATATAGGTAATTACTGATCTGTGTGTTGTTGCCATTTTGTTCATTGTTTTGGGGTTGTTTTTGCCAGTCTTTGTCTTCCTTCTTTTCTTCTCATGATTTGATGATTATCTTTAATGTTACATTTGGATGCCTTTTTCTTTTGTGTGTGTGTGGATCTATTACAGATTTTTGGTTTGTGGTTACTATGAGGTTTTTGTATAGCAGTCTGTATATATATAGATATAGACACATACACACACATACATACATACGTGATGGCTTTCAGTTGCTGATCTCTTGATTTCAAATGCATTTTTAAAACCCTGCATTTGCACTCTCCTCCCCTCACGCTTGCTATTTTTGGTGACTCATTTTACATCTCACTGGTTTGTGTCCCCCTTAACTTCTTCCTGTGGAAACAGATGAGGTTACTACTTTTGTCTTTCCCTCTCCCTACGAGCTTCGTGTGGGGATGATCTGCCTTTACTGTATGCTTGCCTGGACCGGTGAGCTTTTTCATGTCGTAAGTGGCCTTTTCTTTGTCATCGGGAGAAGTTCCTTTAGCACTTGTTGTAAAGCTGGCTCGGTGGCGCTGATCCTGTTTGGCTTTTGCTTGCCTGCACAGCTTCCGATTGCTCCATCAGGTCTGAACGAGCGCCTGGCTGGGGAGAGTATTCCTGGTTGTAGGCTGTAGGGTTTTCTTTTTCATCACTTTGTATTGTGCCACCCCCTTTAGTCCTGCAGAGTTTCTGCTGAAAAGTCAGCCGATAGTCTTATGGGAGTTCCCTTGTATGTTCTGGGCTGCTTTTCCCTTGCTACTTTTAATATTCTCTTTTTACCTTTAACTTCTGCCATTTTGATTGCAAAGTGTCTTGGTGTGTTCCTCTTTGGGTTGATCCTGTGTGGGTCTCTCCGCACTGCCTGCACTTGGATGTCTGTTGTGTCTTCTGGGTTAAGGAGGTTTTCAGCTGTTTTCTCTTCAAATATGTCCTCAGGCCCTTGCTCTCTCTTTACTCCTTCTGGGGCCCCTATAATGTGAATGTTAGTGCGTTTGATGTCCCAGAGGTCTCTTAAAATGTCCTCTTTTCTTTTCATTCTTTCTTCTTTTTTCTGCTGAGCAGCAGTGATTTCCACTACTGTCTTCCAGCTCACTGATCTGTTCTCTGTACTGTTTAGTCTACTGTTGATTCCTTCTAGCGCATTTTTTTTCATTTCAGTTATTATATTCTTCGTTTCTGTTTGGTTGTTCTTTATATTTTCTCTTTGTTAAACACTTCTAACTTCCCACTCTGTGCATCTGTTCTTCTCCCAAGTTCTTTGGTCATCTTTACAATCTTTACTCTGAACTCTTTCTTGGGTAGACTGCCTGTCTCTGCTTTACTTAGTCGTTTTTCTAGGGTTTTACCTTGTCCCCTCTTCCGGAACATGTTTCTCTGTCGCCTCACTTTGCCTAAGTTGCTATTTGTATTTTTATGTGTGTGGCAGGTCAGTTATGTTTTTCAGCCTTGGAGGAGTGGCCCTCTGTAGGAGACGTCCTATGCTTCCCAGCAGTGCACTTCCCCAGGCTGCATGTTGTAGGGGTTCCCATAAGAGGGCTGTATGGACCCTTGTTGTGATGGGCTGACTATGTGGGCAGTCTGTGTGGTAGGCTTGGTTGTCCCCTAGCCCGACTGGTAGTCAGGCCCTGCCTTGTGGGGATGGGGCTGGTTAGCAGGGCATGGTCATGAGGCAGCTGTCTGCAGAACCCCAGGGGACCCCAGGGCTAGTGCTGGCTCACTGGTGGGCAGAGTCAGGGTCCAGAAGGCTCTGGGGCTTCTGCCCACCCCCTGGCGGCTGAAGCCATATCCTGGGGTTAGTGCCAGACCTCTGGCAGGCAGAGCTGGGTCCTGGAGTCTGGCTGTAAACCCCAGGGATTCCATTCCAGAGCTCATTTCAGATCGTTGCGGGGGAAGTTCCTGACACAGTTGGGCATGGTGTCTGGGGTGTCCTGAAGCTTGTGTAAGCCTGCTGGTGTACAGGGCCAGGGCCCAGCTGGACTCAGGCTAGGGTCTGGCTTGCCGTGGGCAGGCTGGGTCTGCAGGCTGCAAGCTCATATTTTCCTTCCATCTACTTGGAGGGTGAGGCTGGTCTAGAGGCTGGTACAGGCTTCCTGGAGGGAAGGGCTGCTGCCCGCCCACTGGTGGGCGGAGCTGGGTCTTGGCCCCCTTGTGGGCTGGGCCGTGTCTTAGGGTGTGTCTAGAGGCAGCTGCGGCTCAGGAAGTCTCAATGCAGCCTGTCTACTCCCAGTTAGTTGTTTGGCCTGGGGCGTCCCCACAGTGGCACCTAAAGGCTGTTGGGTGGGGCCAGGTCTTGGTGCTAAAGAGCCAAGACGGCAGCCACCAGTGCAGTGTTCATGCATAGAACCCAAGTATGACTGTCATCAGTGTCTGTGTCCCCAGGGTGAACCACAACCCCCACCACCACTCACCCTGCCTGCATCTCCAGGAGACTCTCTAAGACCAACTGGCAGGTTTGGCCCAGGTTCCTGTCAAATTACTGCTTTCGCCCTGGGTCCCAGTGTGTGTGATCTTGTGTGGGCCCTTTAAGAGTGACGTTTCATTGCCCCCAGTCCTGTGGGGCTCCTGAAATTAAGTCCCACTGGCCTGCAAAGCTAAATGCTCCGGGGGCTCGTCTTCCTGGTGCCAGACCCCTGGGGTGGGGAGTCCAAGCTGTGGCTCAGAGCTCTCACTCCTGAGGGAGGACCTCTGCAATATAATTATTCTCCGGTTTGTGGGTTTCCCACCGGGGGCTGGGTGGGTGTGGGATTTGACTATATCGTGAGTCTGGTCCTCCAGCCCCTCTTGTTGCGGTTCCTTCCTTATGTCTTTAGTTGTAGCTCTTTTCTGGTAGGTTCCAGTCTTTTTCATCGACTTTGGTTCTGCAGACAGTTGTGACTTTGGTGTGCTCACGAGAGGGGGTGAACTCAGGGTCTATCTACTCTGCAGTCTTGGCTCCTCCCCTCAGTGCAATTATTATATTTAAAGAAACTTCTATCTCTGTGCAGATGTGTATTAGGTTCTATGATGCAGTAAGAGAGTGCAGCCTTGAACACAGTAAAGCTTCAGTGCTACCTACATAACAATGTGTCCATTTTTCCCAGCTCTTTTATTGCTTTAATGATGTTCTTTAATGATGGTAGGAGCAGAAAAAGCTGAATTTCAATGGACTTGTGATATTTGTATGGGATTATGAAGTATTCTTCAGTTAAATATATCTTAATATTTTTATTTTCTTTCTAAAGCCTTCGTTCTTGCCTTGATTGGTTTGTAGCACAAATTCAGTTGTTGGCTTTGTACGACCTGAGAGTAACAATTGCTCCTGCACTCTCCTGGTAAAGAGGTACTGGTTACTCACTGCAGCATTTCCTGTAATCCCTGCGGTACAGCCCATCCTGATGCTTTGGTTCAGTGTGGCTCTCTTCCTGGTGTTTCGAGAGTGGATTCAAGGCTTAGTCGGGGTCCTGCAGGAACCAGATGGCATACTGAGAGCAGTGTTATTTGAGAGGATGTGTAAGGGGCTGCTGACGACAGTGTGGGCTGGGTTTAGGGAAACCAACAAGGCATCGTCCCAGCCTCTGGAGTCAGCGACAGAGAGAAGCCATTTCTATCCTACACGCCTGATGGACAAAGGGCTAGAATGGGTACCAGAACCCAGGAGGAGGTAGCAGCAGAGTCGGGCACCTGGCGGGAGCTGAGGGACACGATGGCAGCCTGGCAGCGAGTGAGTCAGGGGCAAAAACACTGTGGTCTTGCTTTCTTCCCTCCTTCCTGTCTGCCAGTTCCTGCCATTGGCCAAACCAAACTGGAAACCACTGGAAAAGGGAACTGTGTGCCTGGTCTGCATAGCGCAGCTCCCCAGGGCACAGAGCGGGCTGGGGGAGGTTGGAGGCTGGGGCTGGAGGAGCCAGAGGTGGAAGCCCAGCGGGGCTCGCGCCCCTGCACCCTTTTAGGGCAGCTTGGGAGGGTCGTGTGGTCGTAGCCTGTTTAAGGCCCAGCCTAGTGTGTGTTGAACACATGAATACGCTAGGCCATCGGTGGGCAGAACTTCAGCTGCTGAAAACAGAGTTCTCAGAGACTTCACTAGGCTAACCCAAAACCTAAGTGAACAATCAAAATGGAAACACAAATTCTGTTGGTGGAAAAGATGAAAAAACTTTTTTTAAATAGTAATGCCTGCCAGTGTTTGAGGCTTTGGGAGACTTTTAGCACATTTCCAAGCAAGGCCTGGAGCTGCTGTGGCCAACCAAGTGCAAGGAAGCGCAGTCTTGGGTCCCCAAACCCCAAGCTTTTGTCAGAGTGGAGGCGAGCCCGTGGGCCGAAGCAGACACAGAAAGGTTTCACAAGTGAGAAATATTAGAACTTGGGCCCTTAAAGAAGAGTGGGAATCACAAGGTAACGACACATGTGACAGCGCAGGGCCTGCTGCTTTTTAAAGCAGACTTTGTAAGAACTGCCCATTATTTAGACAAA